TCATATTTAAGTGATTGTCCACTAGGACTCCAAGATCCCTCTCACAGTTGCTACTATTGAGCAAGGTACCACTTATACTATACCTGTGCATTTGGTTTTTCTTGCCTAAATGTAGAACCTTACTTTTTTCACCATTGAATTTCATTTTGTTAGATAGTGCCCAGTGTTCAAGTCTGTCCAGATCCTCCTGTATCCTAAGCCTGTCTTCTGAAGTGTTGGCTATTCCTGCCAGCTTGGTGTTGTCTGCAAATTTGATGAGTTCCCCACCTATCCCCTCATCCAGATCGTTGATGAAGATGTTGAAGAGCACTGGGCCCAGAACAGAGCCCTGGGGCACCCCACTACACACTTCCCTCCATGTAGATGCGGTTCCATTGAGGACCACACGCTGAGTATGGCCGGTCAGCCAGCTACAGATCCATCTGGTGGTGATGCTGTCTAACCCCATTTTTCTATCTTATCAAGTACTAGGTTGTGGTCTACTTTGTCAAATGCCTTACTGAAGTCTAAGTAAATTATATCCACAGCATTCCTCTGGTCCACTAATTTTGTCACTTGGTCAAAGAATGCAATAAGATTTGTCTGGCATGATCTGTTTTTGACAAACCCGTGTTGGCTTTTGGTAATGACTTTGTTTGCCTCTAGGTGTTCGCTGATTCGTTGTTTGATTATCTTTTCCAGAATCTTCCCAGGTATTGAGGTCAGGCTGATAGGTCTGTAATTTCCTGGGTCTTTTTTTCCCCCTTTTTTTGAAGATGGAAACTATTTCAGCTCTTTTCCAGTCCTAGTAGTTCCCCAGTGCTCCAGGATCTTTGAAAAATATAGTTCAGTGGTTCTGAAATCACATCTGGACTTAATTTAGATAGTTTCAGGAAGAATTGGATAACTAATTCAAAGAGGTTCCTTTTAACCTACTTCTCTCCAATCAGGAATACATAGAAGGAAATAGGATAGAGGAGAGCAAAACAAAGGCAAACTGGGACCAGTAAAGGACCACAACCGAGATAATTTTTCAATAAACAAAGTCAGGATTTTAATTATGCATCCTATTTTTTTTTCCCTAAACCTGCAATCCAGTTTTCAATTTCAATCCAATTTCAGGCTGATAGGTCTGTAGTTTCCTGGATCCATTTTTTTTTCTTTTTTTGAAGATGAGAACTACATCAGGTCTTTTCCAGTCCTCTGGTAGTTCCCCAGTGCTCCAGGATGTTTGAAAGATATAGTTTAGTGGTTCTGAGATCATATTTTCCAATTCCTTGAGAACCTTGGGGTGTAATCCATCTGGTCCTGGTGATTTGAACTTGTCTAGGGTGGACAGGTGTTCACTTACCATTTTCTTGCCTATCTTAACTTGTGTTTCTAATCTGTTTTTTTACAGTACTGTTTTTGATAGGTTGGACTGTTTGAAAGTGTTATGGTCCGTAGCCATAACTACTACTTCAATCTTTAATATATAAAGCTATCTTGACTATAAAGCTTGACTATAAAGTCTCTCGGTGTGTTTGTGTGGTGTCTGTGTGTTTCCTTTCTGCTTGCAAATTTTGCAAGTATTCTACATTGGTTACAAAATACCTTTGAAGAAGATTATAAAATGCCCCAAACATTCAAATAAATTGCTATTAAGTCTATTAAATTATTTTAATGCCTTATAAGAATGTTTAGGTATTTCTATCTTTTTATTCCCCTTTATGGATTACTGCCTTGTTGTGGCGAAGGGGCTTGCGTAACTCAATGAAGCTATAAGCTATGCCGTGCAGGGCCACCCAAGACGGACAGGTCATAGCAGAGAGTTCTGACAAAATGTGATCCACTGGAGAAGGAAATGGCAAACCACTCCAGTATCTTTGCCATGAAAACCCATGGACAGTACTAAAAGGCAAAAAGATATGACGCTGGAAGATGAGCCCCTCAGGTCAGAAGGTGTCCAATATGCTACTGGGGAAGAGCAGAGGGCTAGTACTAGTAGCGCCAGAAAGAATGAAGCGACTGGGCCAAAGCCGAAAGGACGCTCAGCTATGGATATATCTGGTGGTGAAAGGAAAGTCCGATGCTGTAAAGATTTTTTCTCCATAGGAAACTGGAATGTGAGATCCATGAATCAAGGCAAGCTAGATGTAGTCAAAAAAGAGATGACAAGACTGAACATTGACATCTTAGGAATCAGCGAACTAAAATGGACAGGAATGGGTGAATTTAACTCAGATGACCATCAGGTATACTACTGTGGGCAAGAATCCCTTAGAAGAAATGGAGTAGCCTTCATAGTCAATAGAAGAATAGGAAAAGCAATACTGCGATACAATCCCCAAAATGACAGAATGATCTCAATTCGAATCCAAGGCAAACCATTCAATATCACAATAGTCCAAATCTATGCCCCAACCACTGGTGCTGAAGAGGATGAAATTGACCGGTTCTATGAAGCCCTACAGCACCTTATAGAATTAACACCAAAAAATGATGTCCTTATCATCATGGGGGATTGGAATGCTAAGGTAGGAAGCCAAAAGATAACCGGAATAACAGGCAAGTTTGGCCTTGGAGAACAAAATGAAGCAGGGCACAGGCTAATAGAATTTTGTCAAGAGAATACGATGGTCATAACAAACACTCTTTTCCAACAACCCAAGAGACGGCTCTACACATGGACATCACCAGACAGTCAACATAGAAATCAGATTGACTATGTACTCTGCAGCCAAAGATGGAGAAGCTCTATACAGTCAGTAAAAACAAGACCAGGAGCTGACTGTGGCTCAGATCATGAGCTTCTCGTTGCAAAATTTAGGCTTAAATTGAAAAAAGTAGGGAAAAGCACTAGGCCACTCAGGTATGAACTAAATTATATACCTGATGAATATACAGTAGAGGTGACAAATAGATTTAAGGAATTAGATCTGATAGACAGGGTGCCTGAAGAACTATGGATGGAAGTTCGCAACATTGTACAAGAGGTAGCAACTAAAACCATCCCAAAGAAAAAGAAATGCAAGAAAGCAAAATGGCTTTCTGAGGAAGCTTTGCAAATAGCTGAGGAAAGAATGGAAGCGAAAGGCAAAGGAGAAAGAGAAAGATACACCCAATTGAATGCAGAATTCCAGAGAGTAGCTAGAAGAAATAAGAATGCCTTCTTAAATGAACAGTGCAAAGAAATAGAAGAAAACAACAGAATAGGGAGGACCAGAGATCTCTTCAAGAAAATTGGAGATATGAAGGGAACGTTTCATGCAAAAATGGGCATGATAAAGGACCAAAATGGCAGGGACCTAACAGAGGCAGAAGAGATTAAGAAGAGATGGCAAAACTACACAGAAGAACTATACAAGAATGAGCTTAACATCCCAGATAACCACAATGAGATGGTCATGACCTCGAACCAGACATCTAGAATGTGAAGTGAAATGGGCCTTAGAAAATCTGAGCAACAACAAAGCTAGTGGAGGTGACAGTATTCCAGCTGAGCTATTCAAAATCTTAAAAGACGATGCAGTAAAAGTGCTACACTCAATTTGCCAGCAAATTTGGAAAACTCAACAGTGGCCACAGGATTGGAAAAGGTCAGTTTACATTCCAATTCCAAAGAAAGGCAATGCCAAAGAATGTTCAAACTATCGCACCATTGCACTCATTTCACATGCTAGTAAAGTTATGCTTAAAATCCTACAAGCTAGACTCCAGCAGTATGTGGATCGAGAACTACCAGAAGTACAGGCAGGATTTCGAAGAGGCAGAGGAACTAGAGATCAAATTGCCAACATACGCTGGATCATGGAGAAAGCTAGGGAGTTCCAGAAAAACATCTACTTCTGCTTCATTGACTATGCAAAAGCCTTTGATTGTGTGGATCACAACAAATTGTGGCAAGTTCTTAAAGAGATGGGAGTACCAGACCATCTCATTTGTTTCTTGAGAAACCTATATGCGGGTCAAGAAGCAACAGTGAGAACTGGACACGGAACCACTGATTGGTTCAAAATTGGAAAAGGAGTCCGGCAAGGCTGTATACTGTCGCCCTGCCTATTTAACTTATATGCAGAGCACATCATGAGAAAGGCAGGGCTAGATGAATCAAAAGTTGGAATTAAGATTGCCGGGAGAAATATCAACAACCTAAGATATGCAGATGATACCACTCTAATGGCAGAAAGTGAAGAGGAACTAAAGAGCCTCTTGATGCGGGTGAAGAAGGAGAGTGCAAAAGTTGGCTTGAAACTCAACATTAAGAAAACCAAAATCATGGCATCCGGCCCTCTCAATTCCTGGCAAATAGATGGGGAAGAAATGGAGGTAGTGACAGATTTTATTTTTCTGGGCTCCAAGATCACCTCAGATGGGGACTGCAGCCAAGAAATTAAAAGACGCTTGCTCCTGGGGAGGAAAGCTATGGCAAATCTAGACAGCATACTAAAAAGCAGAGACATCACCCTGCCAACAAAAGTGCGTATAGTCCAGGCCATGGTTTTCCCAGTTGCAATGTATGGCTGTGAAAGTTGGACCATAAGAAAGGCTGAGCGCAAAAGAATTGAGGCCTTTGAACTATGGTGCTGGAGAAGACTCCTGCGAGTCCCTTGGACTGCAAGGCGTTCAAACCGGTCAGTCCTAGAAGAGATCAACCCTGACTGCTCTTTAGAAGGCCAGATCCTGAAGTTGAAACTCAAATATTTTGGCCACCTAATGAGAAGGAAGGACTCACTGGAGAAGGGCCTAATGCTAGGAAAGATTGAGGGCAATAGAAGAAGGGGACGACAGAGAATGAGATGGCTGGATGGAGTCACTGAAGCAGTAGGTGTGAACTAAAATGGACTCCAGAAGATGGTAGAGGACAGGAAGACCTGGAGGAACATTGTCCATGGGGTCGTGATGGGTCGGACACGACTTCGCAATTAACAACAACAAGAACAACAATCTTTTTATTGTACTTTTTAGGTCATGGAAAAAAGACACAATAGTCCATTTAGTTAACAAATTATATTTTTAAAAAAGATAGGCCACATACTTACTTTTGAAGTTTTTCGGTGGTCTCTTGCAAAGCATCTGAAGCTTGCTGAAATTTTAATTCTATACTTGTTTTCTCTGCTGCCATTTGCTGGAGCTGAGTTACCAGCTCCTCATTTTGAAGAAGGAGCATGGAGACAATATCATCTTTATTTTTCAAAGCTTTTTCATATGTTATAAGTGTGGAGTTGAACTGATTCTTAAGATTTGCTTCTTGGGATAGCGCTTGATGCAAACTGTTGAAACAAAAAATATGTACATCAGTGAGTACAATGTAATTTTAAATATATCGATCTAAGTCACATAAATATGTGCATACACATCCATTCGTGACTATTAAGTATATAAAGTGACACAAGAAAACCTGCTGTGTCACTCATGATAGTTTTAAAATACATTTAAATTAACATAGAGCTGACTCAGCAGCTTAGTTCTTTAGAGCCTTTTGACTATTTTTCTTTCTTTTCTTCTATAAGTAGAAGCAAATATTATTCAGGAGTTTCTCTGTATTTACAGGTACAAGTTGCTTCTGATTTGTACAATAAATCCCAAATCTCTTGCTTTTGTCAACACAAGAATTCTTTCTTAGGCAGCAACTTCAGTGAAATGAAACTGATTATCTTTAAGAAGATAGATAGATAGATAGATAGATAGATAGATAGATAGATAGATAGATAGATAGATAGATAGATAGATAGATAGACAGACAGACAGACAGACAGCAGACAGACAGACAATTGCAGACATTTATTTCTGAGGTTCAGCCTCACAGGCTATATCTGAATGAAAAACAAAATAACTTCAGAATAAGCTGGTTTATACTCAGGCTCCTGTATACATATGCCTACATTCCACTTTCATATTCTCACTATATACTAAATAATTTTTACTAAGCAGAACTGTGTAGATCTAAGTTTAGAAATTTCCGTTTCTAAGAGCAAGATGTGAAATTGATGCTGTATTCTATTATTTCTACCTGTCTTATTCTCATGGGGTGCAACCAAATCAGCTTCAGCTTCCTTCAAGAATAAGAAGCCAACAGCCCACATGCATCCTTATCTAGCAGCAGTTGTTGCCACCAACAACCCACTAAGCAGTTTTTAGTAGGCTCCTGGACAGCATAGCTGTGTAGGAAACCTGGTCATCAATGCCTTGACAGATGACTGAAAGCCAGAAGAGAAATCAGGTGTGAGGATCAAGGAATTAGAAGTAAGATTCCTGGGAGGCTACTTGGCTATTCCTTGACTAGATGTTCAAGGTTTCTAGGTTCTTGCACCTTTTCCCTTTTGTCCAGGAAATCTGTTCAGGAATATGGTTGTGACTGCACATGAACGTATTTATACACACTTCAATGTGTGAAAGTCTGACTTCAGTTTTGATCATGATTGGTTGTTATAAAAAATAAGAAATGTTTAAAGCAGCTGCTGAACCTAATAAAATATGTTTTATATATATTTATGGAGATTCTCAGTCATCCAGGTCATGGTTGCTTCTCATCCAACAAGCTTCTTCAGTTCTAAACTGAGGAAGCTTCTTGGATAAGAAGCGAAACATCTTTAAGGAAAAACAAATAAAATCCAGTTGCCTCTTGAAAAAAGCACTTTTGGGTTTTATATATACTTTATTTCACCCTTCCTAAAATTTTCCCAGGGAAGTCTAGTTGGGGTTATTCCTCAGTTTTTCTTTTTTGGAATATTTTTATGAAATAGGGTATTAAGGTTTTCAGATTACTTTCATTTTAATGACTGAAAAGGAATCCTGTATTAACTTAGTACAGAAATTTTATATCTATTTTTGGAATTGTTATTAATTAGCTAAAACAAAAGTAAATTTGTAAACAAATATTTTCTTCAAAATGAATGTTTTATTGAGTATTTTTATCCTATACAGTGTTTTGTTAGAAGCTTGCTTACTTACAAACATTGGGTGTATAGACTGAACCTATCTAAATTACTGTGTAATGAAATAGAAATGAAATAGAAACTATATTTTTCTACTGAAAAGCAAGAAGAAATCCTGCATTAAGTTTATTGGCGTCCTTTTGTTTCAGAACAAAAAATGAAGCACAACCAGATTGCCATTTCATATAGAAATTAAAACTCACCAGGAATGCATAAGTAAAATACAGCTGATTTAATAGGAATCTAAAAGTTAAAGGTCAAGGAATTGGCATGTCATTACACCTACCACCTGAGGTTGTTTGAAAATGATGTGAAGTATCTATTCAATTAAATAAGGACATTTTGAAATTATAAATAATGTATAAAGAGATAAAAAGTCAGCAGAATAGCAGATAAAATATATTAAACATGATTTTGCCATAAGTGAAAAAGAATAAGCATTTCAAAGTAGTATCCTGAGTTACAAGCTGAATAAATCAGTATACTATTTTTGAATATATATAAAGAAGTATCTTGTTGGATTAGACCAAGTCTAGCATTCTGACTTTCACATGTTTATTGATAAACCATAACTGATTTTTTGTTTTTCTTGTCATGCACATGTATACATAATCCGAACTAGACTGTGTTGTTTCTCTGTGTCATATATGTGGGTATATGCACAACTCTGTATTTATTTTTGTCATATTTATGTAGTATATATTGGAGATGGTGACCCTTTGAGAGCCGTATGCAACGAAATTTCATTTTAATGTATGCCGATTAGTGTACATTTAAAATGACAATAAAGTTATTATTCTATTCGATTCTGATTGAGTGTGCACAACATCTAAAGCAGAGGTCCCCAACCTTTTTGGTACCAGGGACCGGTTTCATGGAAGACAATTTTTCCATGGAAAAGGGGTGGGATGGGATGGAGGGGGGGGGGGGTTCAGGATGATTCAAGTGTGTTAAAGGAAAAATCTTCATCAGGGTCCAGTCCAAGCCGGGAATAAATAATATGGTGACTGCTTTAGAAAGAAGGTTGCAGTTTATTGAAGAGGAAAGCCAGATAGAAAGATGGTTCTGGAAGAAAAGAGAGAGCACATGTAGTAGGGAGTGGATTTTTATACTTTCTTGAACTTTTGTTTGGAGTTGTTCCTGTGCCATGAACTTTGTCCTGAGTCTGAGTGTGCCTTTCTGGTATTCTAATGGTGGTGGGTTAATCCTATTATGTCCTGTCTTAGAGTTTCGGTGGGGTATGTAGATTTTAAGGATCTTTGTCTTCCTGATATGTTCAGCTTCTAGCTGGAGGGCTCCAACCTTCCTGAATGGATTATTACATCTGTATTTCTAAAAGCTGGTTTCTGCTGAGTTGTCTGGTTGGGGTGTGTGTGGAGAAGTTTCTGCCTTTTTAAAGATCTTCTCCATTATTCCCTTGGGAAAATATATTCTGCCTTTTTAATATTCCCAAAAAATATTTCTTTTCTCCGGATTGTTCCCACAAGTGCATTACATTTTTTGATAATTTTCTAAATAAACAAATGAACAAATAAATAATGCACTTATTTCTATTATTATTACATTGTATTACATTAAAACAGTGACTTTCTGCTTCTAAGAAAGTGGGAAGGAAGAGATAATCCTAAACTAAGCCTTCTAGCAAAACCCAGCATGTTGAAGAAGTGCCAAGAAAAGAGAGAGAGAGAGAGAGAGAGAGAGAGAGAGAGAGAGAGAGAGAGAGAGAGAGAGAGAGAGAGAGAGAGAGAGAGGGAGAGCAAAACAACTCTCTTGGCTTGCAAACTTGGAGAGCTGCAGAAGAAAGGAGGAAAACAAACAGACACTAAAATAAACCACGAAAAGTAGGCAGGATGTTGCCAAAACACGAGACACCTGGAGCATCAAAACAAAAGCAAAAAACTCTGGTTGAAGTGCAATGGAGCCCAATGGTCTTAGAAAAGGTGCAGACAAGAGAGAGAATCCCTTAGAGACACAGGGCTTAAGGTGAAAGGTAGCTTCTCTCTGCCCCTATTTGCCCCCTGACAAAAAAACACCCTCACACACACATACCTTGGGAGGGTCCCCCTCCAATGAGGCTTTGGGGAAGCTCCAGGTTGCAAGCTGGGCTGGCACGTGCTTGCCTTGCAAAATTGGAGAATTGCACAAAGGGCGCACAAGCTCAGCTGAGGTGCTGGGAGGGAGAGAGGAGGAAAGTGAGGAAGAAGAGGAGGAGGAAGAAGTAGCAGGAGGAGTAGTAGCCAGTTGCAAGTGCAGCTGCCGGAGGACCTTTGCACTGAACAAGACAGTTTCTCCCAGCCACTCTCCCGCCCCTGCCCAGACCCCTACAGTCTCGCCTCATGCCTGGAGGTGGAATACGTGCCTTCAGCACACCTCCAGCTATGCGGTCTGGGTACTGGTCTGCGGCTCAGGGATTGGGGATGCCTGATCTCTTAATATAGTAGAACAGAAGTCCCCAAACCTTTGGGCAACAGGGATCAGTTCCATGGAGAAACATTTTTCCATGGACTGGAGAGTGCCTGGTTTTGTGTGCTGCCTGCATCCCATGGATGGGGCTTTGCTTGTTTGTGCAGACCGGCTGCTGGCAGGCTGCGGTCCGGTACTGGTCCATGGACTCGGGGTTGGAGAACCCTGATCTAAAGCATTATTTTATCAGTGCAGCAACACAACATGTGAATCTAGCTAACTTACATAGCAGTCATCCAGATGTCTCAGTCATCTAGGTCATAATTGTCTCAAAGGTTTCTTTTTTTTTTTTTTGAAAAAAAAAACTGGACTGACTTTTTTTTGAGAAAAAAAATCAGTCCAGTTGCCTTTTCAAAAAATACCTTTGTGATAGACATCCAGATGAATCAAGGAAGCTCAAAATTAAGACATGAGGACAAGACTCTTCTTTGCTGGTTCCTAATAACTGACATTTGGGGCATTTTGCTTTACAGTCTATAGACAGCATATGGTCATTTAGACTAGTAGCCACTGATCATTTTATCTTCCATGAATTTATCATATCATATCAATGAAGCATCTTATGGAAGTCTAGAATTTAGTTTTTATTTTCTAATGCTACATGTGGAGATTTGCGTTTACATAAAGATCAAGGTATATATCCAACTATAAAAAAGATAAAGGTTTCCACTGCCAGTTGTGACCAACTCTAGGGGGTGGTGCTCATCTCCGATTCACTGATGAAGAGTTAACATTGTCTGAAGATGCTTCCGTGGTCATGTGGTCGGCATGACTATATGCTGAAGGTGCAAGGAATGCTGTTACTTTCCTACCAAAATGGTATCTATTTATGTACTTGCTTTTGCATACATTTGAACTGCTGGATTGCAGGA